TTTAGTCTCATTTTATCACAGCTTGTGTTTTGTATTTTTTGTGTTGCAGTGCAGTGTGAGCCTGTCACATTGGTTTTCCAGAGGGTAGGCACAGCTCATGCCCCTGCGAGTTCAGGCGGGTGACCCTTAAACAGCCGTCAGTCTGGCAGCGCAGTCCGGGGTCCGTTGGCGTCTTTGTTCTGCGGGTCTGAACATTAGCTTTTTCTATGTTGCCCATAGAAGCTTTAAGAGGTGCAATCCCTGATTGATCTGGGCTTGGTCTTGATGGGATCCTTCCAAACTGGGGGTTTTGTTTGCTCTCCAAGCTTCCACTTCAGATGTGGAAGAGTCGTAAGTATCCAACAGACAAGCGTGAGCACGTTGGATAAAGAATCCATCCGAAAATTGTATGTGTCAGCCTGATGACGGGCATGCTCCAGTGTGCCTCGCCTGCCCTGCCGTCTCCACCAGGTCAGCCCGCAGTGCTCTGTACAGCCAGGCGCTCTCAGACTGGAGAATAGCCTGCCTTCATCCTTGTCCCAGTACCACTGAGCAGACACTTTAACTGACACACTGCAGGCCTGAAAAGACTGGATCCTTAGTATCCTGGCATTCAGTCTAGCCGTCTGGTAATCCTCAAGGACAGCCATGTCCTCCCAGGCCTCAGAAGACTGTCCCTTCATGAGCACACCAGTGCATAGAAGCACACTTGGCAAACATTAGGTCAGGTGAGCTCAGGCCCCAATGTCCATGGTGTTGCTAAGCATGCTGGCAGCTTGTGGTACCACATTGTGGGGTTGGTAATTAATGCCAACCTTGAAGCCATTGGGACACCAGCCCACAAGTCCCACAACTGGGACTTGATGTTGGCACCGGTGGTGTTGATACCTTTGGGAACCGTGTCACAACAGTGCAGCTAGCAGGGACACATCCATTGACCTTGGTGACCCACGTTTCCCTGGTAGGCTGGCTCAAGGCAGGGTTGATGTGCTCTGCCACAGTGCTCACAACAGGCTTTCTCAGCAGAGGTAATGGGCGTGTATGGCTGGTGGGAAGTAGATGCAGGGATAGGGTACCTGGTGGGACTGCAGATGTGTCCTGTGCATACTCAGAGGCCCAGCAACTCTGGAGGACTCAGTGATGGAGGGTGTTCTGGCCAAGAGGGTGGCTAAAGTTAATATGGGTTGAGTGATGAATATTGAGATATCCCAGGACCTTGTCAGACAAGGAGGAACAGTCAGGTGGGTGGTTAGTATTGTGCTGTAGGATTCAACCAGAGTTGTTGAAACCTTGGGGGCTGTATAAATGGGGAATTCTAGCTTGTTCTTGCCATAATAGGCATTCCAACAACAGGGAGGTGACCCCAGTACCTGCTCCCCCAAAACTTCTGAGAATCCAGAAACCTCAAAGACTTGTGCACTGGTCAGTCAGCTCAAGAAGCCAGGGAAGCAGGCAGAGCGGAGAATTCACCCAGCGGGAAGCGCTCTGGGGCCAGCCTGCAGGCTTCATTCACTGCTCAGGAGTAGGCATCTGAGATTGGCTCACACAGTGGCCTGCAGGGCCTGAGTGAACCACCAGACTGACTTCCTAATTGGCCAGAGCCTGCAGTGGCACTAGCAGTGTGAGGGTGAAGGTGGTGGGAATGTGCCCAGCGCTGCCGCCTCGCTGCCTCCTCGCCCTCACGCCCTTCTGGGCTCAGGCCTCCCCGGCGGTAGGAGGGGGCCAGTACCTCCTACCTACCTCACAGGGTTGTGAGGAACAGTGTCGGCTTTGTTTTTTGTTTGTTTTAAAGATCAAAGATTTTATTAATTCTTTGGCAATTTCATTGTATAGTGTATATTTTTCATATTTAATCTCAACCCTTCCCAGCTTCTCCCACATTCATGCCCCCTTCCAGACCCATCTCCTTTGTGTCCTCTTTGTTTTTCCTTGAAACAATTTTTTGTTTATTTAGCTTTTTTATTGACTCATGGGATTTTCACATCATGTACCCCAATTTTTCTCGCCTCCTGGTCTCCTCCCAGTGTCAGGCGTTTTAATGCTTAGGGGAGCCGGATGGCATAATGAAATCTTTCAGTATGAGAACTGGGTTTCTATGTGTTAACTGAAGGTAGCTGATGTATATTCAAAAAACAGTTAGCCAGCTCAGAAGTAATTTATTTTCAGATTACATGGCTTAATTTTTTTTTTGTTCTATATACCAAAGAGGCTTACAGGTTTGCCAGTATCGGCATGAGGCCAGTTGCTTTAGGAGCTGCCAGCCCTCAGGACCTCCTGAGGCATGCAGAGTTCTGTGGTAGCCATGACTATTGTCCACACCTAGCTGCCCAGGAATAACCGTGTTGGGACAGCAATACTCAGTTTTGAAATGTGAGTGGATCCAGACCACACCTCCCGAAGCTCACCCCACTCACCAGGCTACAAATGGGAGGGAGGGATGTTTGGCAGTCATACCCAGCCCTTTCTCAGCCTGCATCCCCCTTGAGGGCCATGAAGTCGTCTTTTTGATGAGTGGAGAGCAGCCCTTGGCATTGTGGATGGTAAGGCTGAATGTTGGCATTTGATGTCACCCTCCACCTGCCAGAGGCTGGAAAGCTCAGCCTTGTGGCAGGCCAGGAGAGAGGGAGCCCAGGCTGTGGGATCTCTTGGTGAGAGGCTTCATTGTACCCTAGGAGACTTAAGGTTGTTTTTTTTAAGGAATAATTCCAAGGTGTGAGTGGAGGAAGAACAGGCCCACTTTCCTGAAACTTGTGGGTGGAAGTCAGTAGCCCACAATGGAATATGAGCTCCTTAGTGGTAGGATTTGGCCGCTTAGTGCTTTCCTCTGGTGCCGCAGTCCAGAGATTATCCTTAACTTTATAAATGTAGCAGGGACAGGTGGTGGTAGAGAATCAGGCTAATGAGGCTTTTCAGGTATTAGACAGGCCGCCATGTCCTAGGACTTCCACAGATTATAGAACCGTCAGGAGATTGTTGTCTAGTTTCAGGCTTCAGATTGGAAGTTCTTGGGTGGAAAGTAGGTACCACACAGAGAAAAGGCTACTTGGCAATCATGGAAACATTCAGGAGGCTCTGCAGTTTGCAGAGGAACAAACCCTTCAATCAGGGCAGAAAACAGACAGTGGTGGCCTTGGTGGGAGCTGCTGCTTGGTCCTAGGATGTACACTTTATTAATTCTCCCCACGTAGTTGCTGACTTGGGGGCTGGTGTGTCAGGGAGGCCATCTTTAGCGCCAGGTCCCTGAGGGCTCAGCCAAAGCTCCTAGGTCCTGTTCTCCCGCCATCTCCCTGCCTTAGGTAGCTCCCCTTTTACAGTGGCAGCAAGGTCAGTGCCCTCAGCCTTCCTGATGGGCGGGCAGCTGCACAGCTCTGGGAAGCTTGTACCTCGCTCTTCCTGAGCCTGGCCAGCCTCCATCCTGAGTGAGTGGAGGCTGCTTGTCTGACCCATCGACAGGAGGGGGAATTACGGAGTAATTACTGTACTCTTCTTTTTACACACAGAAATGTTTATTTAAATATATTAAATGGGATTTTCTTTCACAGATACTGATTATTCTTCTTAAATAAAACTGTACTTGACCTCACTATGAGCAAGTGTGACTGTAGGATGTGGAAGCTGTGTGTGATAACTGTCTAGAGAGTTCAGCACCGCCAGTGTCAAAAGAGGGGTGCTTCGCCTCTGGGCGCTCTTCTCAACTCCTGCCCCTACCAGAGTAGTTCTCAACTTTTCTAATGCTGCCACCCTTTATAAAATACTTCCTCATGTGGTGACCCTCAGCCATAAAATTATTTCATTGTTGTAGCAGGAATCTTAAAAGTTCTTATTAATAAAATCAAATCACCCCAGTTATTGGGGTGAAATGCTGGAAAATCAGAGAACCAGAACAAGCCACAGCTAACCTCACCTGGCCAACTTCTCAGCTGGTCTTGTTTCCTCAGACTGGAAGCCTCTGAGTCCTCATCCGAATGGATCTCAGCTGAACTGTGGTCCTCACGCCTTATATACCTTTCTGCTTTCTACTACCACTCCCTGGGATTAAAGTCATGTGTCACCATGCCTGGCCATTTCCAATGTGGCCTTGAACTCACAGAGATCCAGAGGGATTTCTACCTCTGGAGTGCTAGGATTAAAGGTGTGAGTGCCACCATTTTCTAGCCTTTGTATCTAGTGGCTGTTCTGTCTCTGACCCCAGATAAGTTTATTAGGGTGCACAATATTTTGGGGAACACAATACCACCACACATTGCTACTTCATAACTGTAATTTTGCTACTGTTATGAATCAGGTATCTGATATGCAAACCCAAAGGGGTCACGACCCACACGTTGAGAACCACTTCTCTGGCGGGTTGTAGTGACAAATTCCTCTGCCCTCAGAGACAGCAGTGCAGGGTATCAGTAATTATTGTGTCTGAAGTGCCAGCCTCTCTGGTACATAAAAGCAACATTTGCTGTTTAACTTAATCAAGCTGTGTATTTTCTTAAATTGTGACTGGAAGGGCGTCATTTAGTCTCCAAAACTTCAATTTTGGGTCATGAAGCTTAAATTTCTCCCTGGAGACAGGGTTTCTCTGTGTAGCCATGGCTGTCCTGGAACTCACTGTGTAGACCAGGCTGGCCTTGAACTCACATCTGCCTGCCTCTGCCTCCTGAGTGCTGGCATTAAAGGTGTAAAAAATAGGCCAGGTGGTGGTGGCACATGCTTTTTTTTTTTTCCAGCTTAAATTTTTTAAGATTTATTTTTATGTGTATTTTACCTACATGCATGTCTGCACCACATGTATGTGGTACCCACAGAGGTCAGAAGAGGGTGTCAAATCCTCTGGACTGGAGTTTACAGGTGGTTGTGAGCACCATATGGGTGATGGGATCCAAACCCTGGGTCCTCTGAGAGAGCAGCCAGTGCTTTTAATCTCTGAGCCACATCTGGAGCCTGTGTGCCAGACCTGAGAAAGTGACATTTGAGTCCAACTCACCAGGACCCAGTTACTAAGCTGCTGTCTCAATATGGGGATGCCATCCTCATTGAGAAGATCCATTACTTCTTTATTGTGAATGTGTGTGGAAAATTAGTTCTTTCCCTGTGCCATGGCGGTCCAAGGGGTCAGGCTTGGTAGCAAGCCTCTTCGGGTCCTGATCCACCTTGCCATCCCCCATCTCCAGTTTCCTACTTGGGCCTGGGGTGGTCTTGGTTCTTTAATGGAGGCCCTTCTGGGAGGCTGCCCAGGGCCCAGCTGCTTCCGTGGGGCTCAGATGCCCTCTCTCTCTTCTCAAGGATGCTCTCTGTGTCGATCCTAAAGGGTAGTTTGACGTGAGCTGGATGACTCCACTCCACCTTCACTGTGTCCATCCTGTCAGCTTTCATGATGGAAGACCTTTCCACACCCACAGAAGTGTGCCTCTCACGAGAGCTTTGCCTCCTCCAGTGAGAGTCTCCCCACAGGTGACAGCTGTTAGTAGTTCAGGCATCCGAGTATTCAAGCATTTCAATAGCTCGGACTGGGAGCCTATAAGCTGGGGCTGCCCTAAGCACAGCCTTGTATGGAAGGGTCAGCCCCACCTGCTCTGTCGTTAATACACTGGTTCTAGACCGCTCTAGAATTCCCAGCTGCACAGAAGACCTCTTCCAGGGACTAACACTTTCCTGTTTTGTTGTGTTTTTATTATTGTTTTGATTTGGGGTTTATAGCAGTGTAGTCCACCTGGCCTCCAATTCACTGTGCAGCCCAGTCTGGCTTAAAGCTCTTGGCAGTCCCTCCGTCCGTCTCGCTAGTACAGTGATTACAGGTGTGGGTATGTGTGTGTGTGCTTGTGTGTTACATATGTACATGTGCGTGTGGGAGTCGGAGGGCAGTATTGTTCCTCAGCGCCGTCAGTTCACAGGGATTGGGTTCCAGCTGCTCAGGCTCCCTCTTAGTTCTCACAGACTGCTGTGGGAGCCGCTGGCTGGTGCCGCAGGAGAGCCCAGGTGCCTTCTGTCTCCTTTATTCCTGATTGTTTACCCTTTTCAGGAGCTGTCCCCGGCACACGTTATTCTCTCAATAAGAACCTTGCCCTTAACTTGCTTCCAAGGATGCCAGCAATATGTGGGTGACACTCACAGGGCATTCCTTTTTGAACAGTGCACATCCCCTTGATGCCTACATCACCCTGGTAAATTGGTTATATGTGGCCAAAGGAACGCTCCATGTTCCCAAAGAGGCCTGTGAAACAGCAGGGCCTCTCCTCTTTCCCTTTGTTTGCCATTTTGGTGAATCACTGGAAGGTGTGTTTGGGTTTTTTTGTGTGTGTGATTTTTTTGCTTGTTTCTTTTAAGACAGGATCTCACTTTGTAGCTCATCCTCTGCTCAAACCTTGTTTGTCCTGAAGTCTGTCATTGTGTTAGTCTCTAATCGTATCACACACACACACCCCATGCTCATGTTGGGAAGATGCTGTTTTACCTGGCTGAGGTCTCGTGGTCCCTGCCGTCATCAGTCATGCTCTGCTCTGTGTGCTCATCCACGGGTACCTGGAATCTGGATGGCAGAGACCGCTCGAGGGCAGTAATGTCCCTGCTGGGGGCCTTAAGCTCACACTGCACCAAACCACAGGGCAGCAGACCTTCCAGGGCCCACCCACCACTTCTCCCTCGGTTTGGGACTGTTTGCCAAGCCCAGTGTGGCTTGTCAGAGCCACTGTCCACAGTAGCATGCAGGCCCTAGTCAGGCCTGGCTTTCACAAGCTATCTTCTGGTCAGAGGAGACACCTCAGGGAACAGACGGTGGGGCCAGGTGGCGTGGAGTGACAGCTTGACAGGCTTTCTTCAGTTGGCAGTGTGGTGTGGAGAGGCCCCGTGAGACAACCTGCATCATGAACCATTCAGGCCTAGGTTCGTAGTGGGAGGTAGTGCAGCTGCCTGCCCCAGGGGAGCGGAAAGGCCACTGTGACCAGGGTGTTGTGTAGTCTGACAGAGGTGGGTAGGGAGGGGCCCTGGAGATCTGCCATGCCTTGATGGGATGGGAATTGCAGATTATTTAGAAATAGCCGCAGGGTATGTTGAAGGGCACAGTAGGGTTGACTTGGGGGGTCGTAGCAAGTGACAGAGTAGACAGGCTGAAATGGGGAGTTCAGTCTGGGTCTTGGGGTGGGTTAAAAATGGGAACGAATAGGTGGTGGTGGCACAAGTCTTTAATCCCAGCACCCAGGAGGCAGAGGCAGACAGATCTCTGAGTTCAAGGCCAGCCTGGAATACAGATCAAGTTCCAGAACAGCCAGGGCTGTTACACAGAAAAAACCCTGTCTCAAAAACAAAACCAAACAAAAAGGGAACAAATGAGAACGGAATCAGGTCGACTCCCAGGCTTTGATGACACACGATGCCACTGACCAAGATAAGGGATTGGATGTGGTGGGGTGCTGTCCAGAGTTCTGTTGGCCACTGCGGAGCTGAGGAGCCTTAGACACCCTGACAAGAGAGCTACCAGGAAGGATGTAGCTGGAGTGAGTCTAGAGCACAGGAATGCTGGGGTGCATGGGAAGTGTCTCTCACTTTAAAACCAGAGAACTGGGACTGGGGTGGGATAGCTCTACATAGTACACGTGCTCGGAGTACTCCAGGTTGGGTTTAATCCATACATGCACGCAAGTTTGAGTGTGGGGGGGAGAGAGAACGAGCAAGCACAGGGGGATTAATGGGGTCACTTACGGAGAGAGTAGAAGGTGAGGCATGCCTGGGATGAGCCCTGAGAGAAGCTGTTATTCAGGCAGCTGACTGCGGAAGGAGCAGCCAGGAACCAGGAGGATGGCTAGCTACAGGGGACAGTGTGTAAAAGACGCACACTTAAAAATGCCAGAGCCCAAGGTGAGAAGCATGCACAGCTCCACACAGAGGCCTTCCTGGAAGGGAACGGGAAAAGGACCGAAATCTGACAGGGACATTTCAAACACAAGAAGACCTGCTGGCACACGGGGAGCCTCGCCTTGGAGGCATCCCCCAGGCACACCCTGCCCACCTACAACTGCTCTGCTCTTGCTTCTGGCTGAGTAGGTCCATGGTCACCTGCAACATGGAAAATAAGCACCTGGACAAAGACTGACTCAGAGAAAGCCTGCCTCAGGGGCAAGCGGCCCAAAGAAACCAAAGCCTTCCACTCAGCCTCAACTGGTGAGAGAATCCTCAGGAAACAGCAGGAGCTAGGAACAGTCAGAGCACCAGAGGGAACTGGAAAGTCAAAACAAGATGGGGCCTGTTTCCAAGCAGGAAGACCTAAGTTTGATTCCCAGAACCCACAGAAATGACTCCTGTGAATTGTCCTCTTTCCTCCACATATGCTCTGTGTGGCATACGTGTGTGCCTACACATACATGTACAGAGACACAAAACAGTAAATACTTTTTGGAGATAGGGTTTCACTATTTAATCCTGGCTGGACTGGACCATATAGACCAGGTTGGCCTTAAACTCACAGAGATATACTTGCCTCTACTTCCTGGGTTCTGGCATTAAAGGTGTACAACCAGCACATTCAGCCAAAAAAGAAAAGAAAAACCACCAAGATCAGCAAGAAGATTGGAAGAGATGTGAGAAATTGTCTAGAAAGCACACAACAGAGGGAAAGGTAAAGTGGAGGCCAGTGTCCCATCACAGGAGCGCTGGCGGAGACTTGGTCAAGTCGGCAACTGATTTCAAAGAGTGTGCCAGATCCCAAACCAAAAGGTAGGAACTTCCAGAGTATGCCAGATCCCAAACCAAGAGGTGGGAACTTCCAGAGTGTGCCAGATCCCCAACCAAAAGGTGGGAACTTCCAGAGTGTGCCAGATCCCAAACCAAGAGGTGGGAACTTCCAGAGTATGCCAGATCCCAAACCAAGAGGTAGGAACTTCCAGAGTGTGCCAGATCCCAAACCAAAAGGTAGGAACTTCCAGAGTGTGCCAGATCCCAAACCAAAAGGTAGGAACTTCCAGAGTGTGCCAGATCCCAAACCAAGAGGTGGGAACTTCCAGAGTATGCCAGATCCCAAACCAAAAGGTAGGAACTTCCAGAGTATGCCAGATCCCAAACCAAGAGGTAGGAACTTCCAGATTGAGAGAAACTACTGTTGCCCATCCCAGTGGCTGGAAACACCTCACTTTGTGAAATTCAAGGCAAACTTCCAAGAAGAGTGAGTAGATCATAGTACATGGTTAGGGATCAGAAGAATTCAGCTGGCTTGGAGACATCACTGGAAGCTGGAAGGAATAGAGGCCCCTGCCTTCAAAGCACAATTGTCCCCAGTCCAGAATTTAAGACTCAAACCATCAGTCAAGTGAGAGGTAGAATGAAAGGAATTTTCTGACCCATGATGCCTCCACACAGGCCTCTCTCCAGAAGCTAATTTACACTCTAGCTGGAAGATGGGATCCACCACATAGAGGAAATGGGAGGAGACCGGAGACAGGTAGGGCACCTGGAATTCCAGCTCCTGGGCCCAGTAGAACATCTGTAGTGAACGTGTGTCACTTTGACTGAACCTAGGGTCTCACTCATGCTAGGCACGAATAGCTGAGATTTCAGGCCTGCACCATCCAGTCTGGTGTGATCATAATAACACTCTGGTGCCTGAGAGAGCCTGGTCCAGACCTGGCTGGTCAACCATGAGTGGATGAAGGTGCTGGCAACGTGGAAGCCTAGCCTCAGGCTCATGGCAATCCTCCTGCCTCAGCCTCTAGAGTACACCACCACTTCTTTGGCAGACTTATAGATTCTAGTACATGCCTGGCCTGCTGGCACGTTTCCCACACATTCTCACCTGGGCTCCAGTCGCTCCTTCACCCTGGCAATGGAGCGGATGTAGGGCGTGATCTGCTTGGTGATGGTGGTCAGGTAGGCATTCTCCTGCTTCAGCTGGAGAAGGTCATGGAGCTGGGCTGTGAAGCCAACGCCAAAGTGTTGGTTGTTGGTGTTAGACTCTTGCTCCTAAGCCTGGTACCATCTAGAGATCCCAACTGCCAATGACTGTGATCAAAAGGAGCAGCATGTGGTGCTGAGATGCAGGTGTGAGATCCAAGCCAAACACTAGGAGGAGAGCAGGGCATGCACAGGCATGGTTAGTGGCCACCCTCCCTCTCCAATGTGGATTAACACTGAGAGCCACTGCCAGGGACCTTCATAAATCTCCTGCTGGGTAGCTACTCGTTGGTAGGAGTCCTCCCAAATCTGAAAGAGAAGAGTGGCATGCTGTTTGAGGTGGGCGGGAGTAATTTCACCGACAGTGTTTCTGCTCTGGGAGCTGCACAGCCACACACACCGATCTGGTCCACATTTCCCAAGAGGAAAGCCTCCAGGCACAGAACCCACAGCGTGAAGGTCTGGCAGAACACCATGCCAGATGCTTGCCTTGGGGTAGCCATGTGCCTTCTGCAGCCGGGAATTGATAGAGCTGGGGCAAGTTACCTCCTGGAAGATTGCTCTCATGCCTTCCATGGAGGCATATTCAGAAGCAATCTGTGTGTCCAACAGTAGGGACCTGTGCAGGATGTCCCCCATGATCTCCGCCTTGATGAGCGAGTGGTGCTTGGTGAGGTCTCGGTGTAACTCCTGGACCTGGTCCTTGAGGTTCTGCACCTCTACTTGCAGACCCTGTTGCAGAATGTAAGTGAGGGCATAGAATACTGCCAGGTCCTCCAATGGAGAAGTGGATCTTAGTGAGGAAGGGGTGGGGTTCCACTCCAGTGCAGATGCCCAGCCCCTCACCCGATAGGAATCCTCGTAATGGTGGCAGTGCTCTGTGAAGGGTGTGTCCTCGCCCTCGGCCAGGAGAACCTTCGTGCTCATGGAACGATGTGGCGAGGGTTTGGGGACGGGTGACCCTGACATCTTTCCCACTGGGGAGGGACAGCTGGGTGTCTTCAGCACCTTGGGGCTTGAGCTCCCTGCCAACCTGCCAAGAAAGCCAGTCTGCAAAGGGTAGAGGGCCGGTGTCCCCCCCCCCCCCCCCCAACGCCCTGGGCTGCTCAGGGAGTCACTGTCCCCTCAATCAGCTGCAGAGTAGAACTACTGGAAGCTCTCAGGGGTCCCAGGCAAGGCCAAGGTAAGAGCGCCCACTTAATTTGGTGATTTCTAAAAGGCTCCCCCCAGGTTGGATCTGGGCACACCGACGTGCAGCTCACTCCCATGCTGGGCACACAAGGTCCGAACTAAAAATGGTCTTTCTTGGTCTCACACACTGGTTTCACTGCTTCTAACCCTTCCGAGTCTCTGACTTTCAGCTGGGTCGAGAACTCTGATTCACAGTGACTCCGGGCACCCCGAAGGTGTCCTGCCCAGCCTGCTTGAGGAGACTGTGGAGGAGGTGAGGAGCGCCCGGTCTCTCAGCTGTCTAGGGCTTCCTGCCCCAGCGTCCTCAAGGGCTGTTCCCTGTCTCTCCCTCCCTCTCAGACTGTCGCCTGGCCTAGACATCAAGTGCTGAGCTGGGTGCGCTTGTGACTCAGCAGGGAAGAGTGGTGCGGGAGCCGGTGACCCCGTCCGCCCGCCTGGTTGGCGCTCACGTGTTGGCGACGCCAGCGGTGGACACAGCTCTGCGGGGTCCCAGCAGCAGCAGCGGCTCCAGGCAGCGCGCGAATTCTGCGCGGTGGTCGCTGGCGATCTGGACCGGAGATTGGGTCATGAGCGGCTCTCCCCTTCCCCGGCCCCGACTCCCGACAGGGCGTCCACACACCTTGCTGCTCTGAGCCGGTCTTAGGCGATGCGGCCGCGTGACGATGCCTTGCAGCCTCTCCATCAGCTCCTGCCGCGGGGGAAGGGCTCAGGACGGGGGTGTGTGGCAAGGAGGTGGCAGGCAGGGCGGGAGAGAGAAGTGGAGGACTTCAAGGCTCTGGGGCTAGTCTGTCATTTTACCTGTCTCCCTTAGAGGCCTCAACCCTCCTCTAGGACTGGTCCATACACAGGCACCGCCCACATCTTTGAGAGGGGAGGTGAGGCTCGCGGCGCAGACCCTGCAGTTTGGTGGAGTGGAGGCTTATGCTCACTGTCTTTTAAAAGGTATTCACTTGCCCCCAAAAGGGCTTGTAGTGGAAGGGAAGAGAAGTCCAGAGACCCCCAATCAGGCCCGCAGGTGATGTGAGACAGGAGCCTCTATGCAGGACTGGGCTCTAGGTGGGCAGAGAGGGTCTTGAAGGAGCTGGGGACACTCACATAACCCAGATCCAGAAACTCAGCCTTGCTGGCCAAGCTGAGGAAGGAGGAGCAGATGACCAGGTGAACCTGCAGGAGGGTGCCATGCTCAGTGCTTGGACTGTGGGCTGGGTGTCCAGCCCTACACACCCTCAACACTTACCTGCAGGGTGGGCAGCAAGGAGGCCAGGTGGGCAAGCTGTTCCTTGAAGGCTTTGTCCTTTTCTTCATATTGGCTGGGGAAAGGGCAGGCTAGGCTGTTTGGTCTCAGGGGAGCGGTGCCTGTCCCACGTGGAGGATATTTGGCTCTGCAGCTCTGTATCTTCACTAGTGAGCATGTGTGAGTGTACATGTGAGTGTGCGTGTGTACGTGCGTGTGTGCGTTCATGTATGTCCATATTCATATGTGTGCATATTCCTTTGTGTGCCTGTGTGACAGCGTGCATATGCACACGTGTATCATGTATACATGTACATATGGAGGGCAGAGGTCTACATCAGGCATCTTCCTCAATAACCCATCACCTTATTTTTTGAGACAGTCTCTCACTGAACTTGGAGGTCACCAGTTGGCTAGACTGTGACCAGTGAGTCCCAAGGATCCTCTTGTCTCTGCCTCCCCAGGGCTGAGATTATAGGCATGCCCACTGCATGCTGGGGATGTGCTTTGTGTCTTTGTGTTTCTGTGGCAGGGGTTTTACTGACAACCATCTCCTCAGCTCTGGGTTTTGTTAGTTTTGATTGTTGAAACAGAGTCTCCTGTAGCCCAGGCTAGCCTTGAACTCCTGACCCTCCCACCTCTACCCTCCGAGAGTTACACTTGCAGGCAGACACCATGGCTGTTTCCTCCCAGCTTTGTAGTTCCTTCCCTGTGAACACGCTGACCACTTTTGGTGGCAGCCACCTGTGTGTCTTGTCCACCGTGTAAGGCAGAGCCAGGTCGGCCAAGGCTCAGGCTCAGAGCAGGGAGTATGGAGATCAAGGTAGGGGGCAGGGACTTGCCATCACTCACCTCTGCACAGTCTGCAGCAGCAGGGCTTTCCTCTCAGCCAGCCTGTCCTGGGAGAGACAGCCCATCACTGACCTGCACACCTGGCTCTGTCACCTCCTACCATAATGCCTTGGGGCATAGACACAGGCAGCATGCTTAGGACAGGGCCCTGCCATGTGGCCAAAAGGCCTTCCTCCTCCGTGCATGGAACTGCCTGAGGGCCTAGGTGCCCGACCTTAAGTGTCACCAGACTAGGATAGCCTCTGGCAACTCTCCAGGCACCTGTGGCTAACCCAATTTGATGTAACACCTGGCACTACACTGTAAACTCCGTGAGGGTACCTGGGAAGTTACTGACCGCACCCTCACCTGCATGCTGCCGAAGAGGGCGTGGATGGCTGCCTCCTCCTCAGCGGCACTGTGCCTCACCTCCTCCACCATGGCCTGCAGCAGCGCGATGGCCTCTTTCGTGGCTGTCTGCAGGGCTTTCACTGCCTGGGGACAGCAGGGTCTCAGCCTCATTCCCGCAGGTTCTCACAGCTCCCACCCCCACCCCGCTTCAGCTCCTTCTGCTCTCACCAGCACTGCCTGCTCCAGCCGCTCGCAACCTTGAACATAAGCGGACTCCAGGTCCACACAGTGGGCCCGGCTCTCCCTGTCGAGAGGCACCTAGTAAGACCCGATCCATCCCCACCCCACCCACTCCCTGCCTGCTCCCTCTACCCACCCCTGCATGTCCCGAAAGCAGCGGATGCACAGCAGCGACTTCTTGTCGGTGGAAAACATGATGTAGGGCTCCGAATGGAGCGCTGTGGAGCGGGCGGGGGCGGTGATGAGAGCCTAGAGACATTCCCGCCTGGTCCCCACCCCTGGCCACGGTGTGCCTCACTCACCACACTTCTGGATCACGTCGCGGCTGCGCTGGCCCAGGGCTACTATGTCATGCCTTGCGAACATGCGCGCACGGTGCGTTTCTTCGCGGCAGCGTGCGCACAGGGGCTGCCCGCAGGTGTTGCAGAAGTACGTGGTCTCTGCGTCCTGAGGACCGAGAGCTGGTTCAGGCCAGAGTTCTAGAACTCACTGAACCCAATGATAGAACCGCAGCCACCGCGTGTCACTGAGTGCATCAATCCTAGTCCAGGCAAGTGGTCCGGCTAAATGCAGCTCCTTCCTGCAATCCCCAGCAGCTGAACTCCAACATTGTAAAAACTACATTTATTGATTCAGTTGTGCATGTGGGTGAGTGCCCAAGTGCCGCACCATGAGAGTGAAAGTTGTTTCTCTCCTCCCCACCCCCACCCCACCCCCCCACCCCCCCCACCCCCCCGTGCGCTGAGTCCAGGGCTTAGGGAAGTGACCATAGCCATGGCTTCCATCCAGCAAATCCTACTTATTTTTAAAGGTTTTATTTTTATTTCATGTGCTTTGGTGTTTTGCCTGCATGTATGTCTGAGTGAGGGTGTCGGATCCCCTGGAACTGGAGTTACGGACAGCTGTGAGCTGCCATGTGGGTGCTGGGAATTGAACCTGGGTCCTCTGGAAGAACAGCCAGTGCTCCTAACCACTGAGCCATCACTCCAGCCCTGAAGCCTCTTACTCTTTACATCGGCAGTCAAGGCCATTTCTTCAGAGCCCCCCACCCCCAACTCTCTCCCCTCCTGCCTGTTCTCTTTACTTTCATAAGGTTTCTCAGCTCTTGCTCAGCATGCCGGTTTGAGGCTGTGTGCTCCTGAGCTTCCTTCCTGCCATAGGGTCATCAAACCTCTACTGGCCTTTGCATCAGGGGCTGGAAGCCTTGTCTTCGGCTCCCTGCTCTCTCTCCAGCTACTTACAGCTGCACAGTATTAGCTTTAGCTGCTTACATGTGCTTAAGTAGTAGGGGGTCCTCAAGGGTACCCCAGGTCTGTGAGCTGAACCACTACTCCCATGACAGCTCATAACTCCACCCTGACCTGGGGACCCAGTTAGCTCTCCCTAAATTGAATGGCCTCTGCCACTATCTGGTTATTGGCTCAAATCATTTTTTTCTGGACCTTGGTTTCCCCACCCATATGTATGATGGGGGCATGGTTGGAGGCTGAAGGATCCCAGGCTGGAGACTTCAGTGCTGGATGGTTATTGTACATCGGGCAGGCTGTAAGTGTTGGGCATCCACCGCCTTCTACTTCCTCACCTGCTTGCTGCATTCCAGGTCGCAGTTGGCACAGTGCACAGCCTCCACACCATCCCCAGAGCTATCCACCAGGAACTGCAGCAGCCGGTCCACCGGTGGGAGCCCGCTAGGACCCTTCACCAGGGTCTGGTGCCTGCAGAGAGGCTGCAGCCATGATCTGGACACCCTTGCAAGAAGCTCTCCCCACTACCCTTCACATTCCAGGCAGGAGCTAAAAATAGCAGTGTCAGGGTAGTGGGGTCTGCTATAAATACAGCAGCCAGCTTGTCCTGAGGGCCCGACCCTGCTCAGTGTGTGTGTGTGTGTGTGTGTGTGTGTGTGTGTGTGTGTGTGTGTGTGTAAACCTCTTGGCATATTGCATTGTGAAAGGCCATGCCACCCCAGTGGACCCTCTCATCTCACTAGAACATTATGAGCTATTTTAGTAATTGTGTCAACCTAAGATTTCCGGGACACGCCCCTTCCAAAGGAGTTGCTGGGAGTGTCCTCACCTCTTCTCCAGCCCTACCCTAGCACCCTGACTCTGGGAAGCTTGTAATGATCATCTAACTGCCTCAGTTTACCTGACTAAGCTACAGGGGGTTCGGTTGGTTCCCATACGTCTGCTTATGACAGCGGACTGTTTCCACCTCCTCAGCCTAGGCTGGGAACCTCCCCATCTACACTTGGCCTCTCAACCAGGACTAGAGCCAACTTCACCCTCTCTGGGCTTGGAGCACTTACTGGCACAGCGGACAAGACAGGCGGCCATCAGTGGCCCGGCCGCGCAGGCAGCCAGCGCAGAAGTCATGGAAGCAGTCCAGCAGGCATGGGCGCTCGTACTGTGTGTGGCACAGCGGACACACGAGGGGATGGCCACTCGCAGCATCCAGGGTACCCAGGCCCTCCAGAGGCGCAAAAATTGCTCCAGACATTTGTGTGGATTGACAGCTCAGGACGGTGACTCGGATTCCTGGGGCCCAGGCACCTTCCTCCTACCCAGCCCTCCTAGACAAGACTTAGCTAGTGGCTTTGGGACGCTGGAATGCCGGTAGCGCTCCAGCAGGGACGACGGGGTGCGGGGAACACTGTTTGGAGAGGGGCCCTGCCACTGGTCACCCACCTCTCTCACAGTCCCTCTGCTGTGGCTCTGCCGGGGAGTGGCTGGCCCTGGAAGGTCAGGTCGCCAGGCTGGGCAGTGCTTCCTTCCCTCGTCACTTCTCCCACCTCCTCTCCCTCCCACCCCTCTGCGATTCTCCGCCCTGTGTCCTCTGGGTGACCGGGAGTGAGGTCCCTTGGTGTTCCTTCCTCAAGGTGTTGCTGCTTTGCTGAGCCTGGTCTGCAGTCTCGCCGCTCCACCCTGCCCAGAAGCAGTGAAGAACACGGTTGCGCGGTGAGCGTCCCAGACACCACGACACCTCTCCGTGAGATTGGAGCGCAGAGCAGAGGTCGAGGATACCGGCTCCCGGATCTTCAGCCAGCCAGACCAGGCCTCCCTGGCTACAGCTGGAAACTGACTCCGGACCTGAGAGGGAACAGTGGTCTTCACAGCCCCATTTCCCCCATGGCCAGCTGGGGGCTCCAGAGAGCAGCAGACGGTCCACAACATTCTACGGCTGAGATGAGGGTGCGCTTTGGGGTCTTAGGCCTTCCTTAGGTGGTGTGGTGCTCAGTCAAGTTACCGAATTCTCTGAGCTGGTCTCCGTGTAATGGGGTGAGACGTGTATGGATCAATGCATGTGAAAAGCCCCATGTTCAAAGAGGGTGGGTTTGGGTGGGAGGTTGGGACCGAAGGGTCCCTCTGACCCGGCCTGTTCATCCACTCTATCCGGTGTACCTGCTCTTCCGAGACGGCGTCCTTAGCTTTCCACTTTCTCTACTCATGTTTTCCTAAACTCCTCGACAGCAGCTCCTTTTGCTCCTTTTCCATAAATCAAGTCCAGAGTTTGACCCCCAGAAGTCTTACTCACTGGCTAGAAAAAACAAGGACATGGCACGGAGATGAGCCAGAGTTTGCCAGAAGGGGGTAAATTCTGTGGAGAATTACCCATTCTCCTTTCTGAAAAGTTCCTAGTACGTTGTTTATTTGTGAGCGTGTGCAGGGGTGTGTGGAGATGACAGGACAGCTTGCAGGAGTCAGTTCTCTCCTTCGTGCATACAGGTCTCGGGATTGAACCGGTCGTCAGGCCTGGCTGCAAGTGCCTTTACCGGCTGGGCCATCTTGCTGACCCCACCTCTGTTGTTTTAAGGGCTTTCCTGGCTCTGGATGATTTATGCCCAGTCATAACTGTACAACAGCAATTAAAGAGTTAATGCTTAGAGGCCAGGATGCTTTCCTTAAACTAGCCTTAGTTTGTTCCTGATACTGATCTTGGCTAAAAAAAAAAAAAAAGTTACCTCTAGTTAAGTGATGGAAACTGGTACACGGGAGAGAGGAGAGAGGAGAGAGAGAGAGAGAGAGAGAGAGAGAGAGAGAGAGAGAGAGAGAGAGAGAGAGAGAGAACAAACTGGGTGTATGCTTTGTTAATAAATGATCCAACAGTTTCCAAGTAGGAAGTAGATGTCAAAAAAGATGTATTTATTTGTTTCTATTTTATGTATATGAGTGTTTGCCTATACGTGTGTCTGTGCACCACATGCATGCAATGCTGGTAGAGGCCAGAAGGGGGCATTGGATCCCCTGGAGTGGGAATTACAGTTGTGAGTCACCACGTAGGTGCTGGGACCCCCACCCCCGTCCTCTGCAAAAATGCTCTTAACCACTGCACAATTTCTCCAGCCCAGTTTTTGTTTGATTTTGAGACAGAGTCTCATTATCTAGCCCAGGCTGCTCAAACTTTGGATCCTTCTGCCTCCACTTTCTGAGTGCTGGGATTATAGGAGTCATACCACCATGCCGACACTGGATATTGTTCCTGACGCCCGTGTTTCTTTAACCCATGTGTTTATATGTTTAATGAGCATCTACCAGTGGCTGGATACCGTGCCAGGCATTAGGACATGGAAGGAAGCACACCAGCCAGGTTGACCAAGTACACAAATAACCACAGCAATGACAGATGCTGTTAAATGTAAATAACATTGTGATAAGGGGTATGTGGGGGAGAGCAGGTGGGAGGGAGAGGGACTTGGGGCCACACTAGTGAATCAGAGGCAGAAAGGAATCCTGAACTTAAGACTTCAGAGGCCAGGGAATATTTCAAGCAGAGGTAAAAGCAGGTGCAAGGTCCTATGACCTTGACTAAATTAAGAGAAAAGACCAGAGTGGATGGAGATGAGAGAGGCAATATGGGATGAGATGAGACCCAGGAGAATTCTGGGAGACCCAAAGAATGCTGGATACTGGAAGCCCTGGCATCAAGCCTGGCAAGGAGGAAGGAATGACCAGTGGGGTCAGGTCACTAAGAGATTCAGGAGGAGCAAGATGGAGAACTGGGGCTGGAGAGATGGCTCAGCGGTTAAGAGCACTGGCTGCTCTTCCAGAGGTCCTGAGTTCAGTTCCCAGCAACCACATGGTGGCTCACAACCATCTGTAGTGAGATCTGGTGCCCGCTTCTGGCCTGTAGGCAAATATGCAGGCAGAATAAATTAAAAAAAAAAAAAAAAGATGGAGAACTGACATGGTAGTTAGCAGAGGTGGTCAGGTGAGATTTTTGTGGGAGCTTTTTTTCAACAGAAAAAGTGAGGAGACTGAGGAGAACACTCGGAGCTATCCCCCACCCCAAGCTTTGTGTACAGAGGAAGGGGGAGGGTGGTACATGAAGGGACATGGAGTCATGGCCTAGGAGATGTTGGAAGCTGGTTAGATGGTGATGGGAAGGGTCCAGAGAAAAGGAGGAGTTGGGGGAGGGGAGACCTGCAAGATGGATGATGTTGTCTTCCATGAGTAGTGGCTGGTGACACCTCTTCTAAAGCAGCAGGCAGAAATGCAGAGTCTGGGGTGTGGCTGTCCCAGAATGAAGGTGGCTGCAAAGGCTGGGTATCTGCATGGCCAGAGCAGTCATTACCTATGAGGAAAGGTTGGCTAAGTTCTAGTCAGTAGACATCACACTGCTACTGTGGCGGGGTCACAGCCCAGGGAACCTGTAGCTGAAAATATAGTGAGTTTGGGCTGGTGAGATGGCTCAGAGGGTGAAGATGCTTGCTGCCAAGGCTGATGCTCTGAGTTACACACACACACACACACACACACACACACACACACACACACACACACACAATTATTATTTAAAGCAGCTTCTTTGTTGTCTTATTAATAAAAATGGTCAGGAGTTAGATATTAGGGTAAAACCTGAGAGATTCACAGAGTAATGGAGAAAACGACCAGTGACCATTACTCTCAATGCTTCCACACTCGAAAGGGCCACGCTCTTCTTTGGCCCATCCTTATGCCTCTTGTGTGTCTGTCTATCTCCTCTGAGTCCACCAGAAAACTCTATCATCCACTCCAACCAGCGGAATGTGGACCCCACCCTCTGAACCAAGGCCAGACTCCATTGGTGGTCTTAGAGCAACAACACAAATCTCCTGCAACATTTCCCCCTTTTTGTCTAAATAAAAAAGAAAGGTTTTTAACTTTAACATAGTAAAACTATGTACAATAGGAACAATTATCAGGTAAAAATTACATTCACAATGACCAGTTCATTTGTATTTGGCAAATTTAGAGAAAATATTCCATTATCTATCCTCTCTTGGTGAGTCCAAACAAAAGTTTTGTACCTAATTGAATTTCTATTATAACTAAAGAAAACTATAACTATCTAGTCTTCAACCTCATCAGAGATCCGAGAAGGCTATATTACCTGAGTAAACAGGAAGTGCAGAGAAAACAACTTCCAAAACTATAGTAATGACAGAGACATATGGCTGCCTGGATAGTCACCCAAGGTTCCTCTGCAACTTTGGGGCATCCATCTTTGGTCTACAGGACTAGAATATCTGACAGACTTTTTGTGAAGCAGGAAATTTTGAAGGACTATCCTACCTTGGGTCTTGGCAAAATTCAGCAATTGCTTTCTTTTGTGTCCTGCTTGTCCAGTTTGAACAGCATAAAGTCAGCAGTTGAGGTAATGGCAGTTTCTTGCCCAGTGGCTAACTTTGTCACAAAGAAAGCAAACTCCATATGGAGGTTCTTCAGTGCCCATCATTTTTTTTGAAGTAAATTGGTGCTGCCAGGAGCAGACATGCCTCACTGTCATGAAAAGCCTTATGTTATTAAAATATTTTAAATGTCATATTCTGTAGGCCTTTGAAGTGTTTGAAGACCATCTATCTATTTAAAATTTATATATTTGACCTTGAAAACATACCTAACATGATTATAAGTTTGATTGTTATAGATGACTAACTACATACTTGTCTTTATTATCCTAATAGTTTTCAAGGACTAGAACTTTACATTTTTTTTATTGTTGTTGTTGTTGTTTTTGTTTTTTGGTTTTTCGAGACAGGGTTTCTCTGTGTAGCTTTGCGCCTTTCCTGGAACTCGCTTTGGAGACCAGGCTGGCCTCGAACTCACAGAGATCCGCCTGCCTCTGCCTCCCGAGTGCTGGGATTAAAGGCATGCGCCACCACCGCCCGGCGAACTTTACATTTTTAAATGAGCTGTACAGGTACAATACTTTAAACAAGGGTAGAAACATATATACAGTATAATAAAAATTATCTTAAATTTGTATCACTATACAAAAATATCTTAAACAAGAATAGACACACACATATATAGTATAACAAAAATAACCTTAAAGTTGTATCAATATACAAAAATCTATACCAATGTAAAATATTTGAGACTAGTAGTTGCATTTTGAGTTTAAAAATAGATTGAATAATCTACCCTTTTATCCTATCATTCCAATATCCCCCTTTTTTCTTTTCAGAACAAGATCCCTGAATCTAATCTCCTTTGCTTAGTTTCCTCCCTGCCCATGACCAATAACAACTTGTCACCAGCCCCCCTACACGATGGTAAGCATCCAAAACCCACCAAATGACCAGAAATCACCCACCCCACCTCTTGAGAATGTGGGTGTCACATTCTTAAAATTACTTCCTGTTGTCTGGGGGCAATGCCATTTTTAGGGGACCCTGAGGAAATTGAGATAATGGTCAAGACCTGGGAGAGCTAGCTGTTGTCCAGTCTTGGTGGGATGGGAAAGTGCAGGGCTTATCTGAAGTCCTGGCTGGAGGAGTCTATGAGACCGGACCATCTCAGCTAACCACCTTGAAATTGTCCCGAGCAGTTTCTCGTCCAAAGCTGATCTTGGTGTGGTGTTTCTCAGCTTATTCTCGAAATCACAATTCCGGTGCAATTGCCATTGTGGGGCCCCATCATCCTTTTGGAGACTTCAAAGGTCACTGTTAGGCATGATCATGGTTCACTTCAGAAAACTTAAACATTTTAAATGTCATACGCAGCAGATCTTGGAGAGGTTAAAGGACCTCTCCTTTGTACCCACACAAACTTAATTCCTAGTTACTTGCTTCAGATTCAAACCTGAAATCATGTATAGGAAGCTAGATGAAGCCTATTTCTAGAATTAGTTAGTACTCTAAATGACCATTAATATCATGACAGAAAGTTAAAAAATATATATATAAATCTTG